ATAAAGTCAGAATTGTGAGATATAAACTCGCAATTGCGAGAAAAAAAGTCAGAATTGCGAGTTTTTATTTCACAATTCCGACTTTTCTCAGAATTGCGTGATATAAACTTGCAATTCTGAGAACATATCAGTCTTTTTCCCCCCTCAAAATTGGACTTTAACTCGCAATTGCGAGTTTATATCTCACAATTCTGTGAAAAAACGTCAGAATTGTGACATAAAAAGTCGCAATTAACGTTACCTTTTTAAAATTTATTTAAGAGAACGTCAGAATTGCGTGATATAAACTCGCAATTGCGAGTTAAAGTCCAATTTTGAGGGGGGAAAAAGACTGATATGTTCTCAGAATTGCGAGTTTATATCTCACAATTCTGTGAAAAAAAGTCCGAATTGTGAGATAAAAAGTCAAAATTAACGTTACCTTCTTTTTTTTTTATTCAGTGGCGGAAACGGGCTTCCATACACTTGTAACGGAGCAAGTTACAATAATAAAACCTTGGTGATAACAAAATTGTTGATCGTCTGGAAAATTATGCTACAATTGAGAACATTTATGAAAAATGTATTCATTTGTTAAAAAATTGTAAACAAAAAAATATTTTAGCATATTTTAAACGTCAGAATTTTTAGAATGGTTTTCATAGTGTGCTACTAGTGCTCGAAATGTGATTAAATGCCCTTATTGTTTGTTTTTAAAACGAACACTAAAAATATAAATGTATTCGAGTAACGTTACCTCTGGTATGTCGCGGGTCTCGCTGGATTTCTCGAGGAACCCGAGTCGCGGGAACACACTTTCAGTCCTGCACGGCAGTCGCTCGTGAGAGAGCAAAATATCATCCAGAGAAAAGAAATTCTCCTCCATTCCGATACCCGGAGGAACGGCCATGTAGGATTGCAAGTCCATTTTTATTGTTTAAGATACGTGATCTCTAAATGAGCCAACAAAAATTAAGAGACAGTCAAATAAAGACGAACATGTCAAAACAACAGCACTGTGATAACAGCATTTGGCGCGCAACTTCAAATGAGAAGTAATAGAGCATCGAGCACAGGGAGCAACAGGCGTGAGCAGTCGATAACAGAGTGATCGCAAATCCTCTTTTATTTACAGAACACTTATACTTTAAATATATGCTAAAAAAAGAAAATACCAGGCCAGTAAAAAAATAAAGACAAAAACAGTAGTTTGGTTGGCTGCTGTACTTATTTTATTAGAACATGTTACAATCGTTTTAATCAGCAACGTTCTTTTTAGAAAAAAGAAAACAATCTGAAAAATAAGGAGCAAAAAAGTATTTAAATTAACATATTTAATTAATACGATTTCTTTCTGCATTATGTTTGTGTAGATAAAACGTATTCATACTGATTAATAAATCTATCATGTGCATTTCTCACTTTGGCCATTAGATGTCGCTATATCTTTAATTTACCAACGAAACAGTGTAATTGCAGTGATTACTACTGTCTGTCAGTTAGAACTGGATATCATTCCATTAATAGTCTCATCTAAACATAACAATAGTTTACCAGTGGCCTGTCATTAAAGAGAATTATAATATTAACTTATTAGTATGTTGTAAATTCAAAAGAAGCTTACAACACAATATAAGCAGACACTTGATGAAATTGTAAGTTTTTGTATTGTAACTGCAAGTCAGTTCTGTTCTTAATTAGAGTGTCCCTGTTCTTTAAAGGTCCCAGTTAATATATTATCTCTGTCTGGACTGCCACACACTTTTGTGCGCTTCATCTTCATATAAATGACATTATATACTCAAATCCACTTTGATTTACAGCACAAATATGTGAAAAATAAGTTCACGATAAGGCAATACCAGGTCAATGTCTTCTTTTAAAGAGAAAAGACAGAATAGCAGTTCTAAAGGTCACAGCCAAATTTACAGAACAGACTTGGTACTCTGTTTTATTTCATCTTTCTGGACATAAATTATGGTTTTATTTATAGTGCACATTATATAGTACTCAAAATGGTCCACAGTGTGACATTGCTCAGTGCCCTGAACACATTATAGACTACTTTAACTAAAATGTTTTTGTATTGTGAGATAGGCAGGCAGTAGGAAATAATATAATAATCATATTTTATGCTAGTTTTAAATAGCCCCAGCGGAACCAAATGTAATCATTTACAGCAGTGTCTGTGGTTGTTATGGTCCTGGTTACAAGATCATGTCTACTTAAAAGATTTAAGTTTTATGCAGTGCACACTATGATATTATTAGTGATGTGGTCCATACATAATTTATGAATGCAGAAATATTAATAAGCATAATATACTGATTTACTGCAAGCGATGAGTCTAATACAGCAGAGATAGATGCTTTGTCTTACTGAAAGTTTATTTGATTGTATTGCATATTATTTAGTTGTATATTGCAATTATCTGTCAGCATGCCTTATATTTGTTATATATAGCCTACATATATATATATATATATATATATATATATAAAAAATTTTTTACAACTTTTACTTTTTCCTGTTAATTATGATGTGTGTTTGTGTGTAGGCTACTAATTATTTGTCAACATACTAAAACAATCATGCCAATAAAGGACTTTGTAACTGGAAACTGACAGAAAATTATGCACATATCAGTTTGTGATCTTTAAAATAAACCATGGTTTTCCTTCTGTCAGTAAATGCCCTGAGATTTCATGACTGCTGACCTACACTCGCATTTTTTGGCCCCATTATGGAGATGAAAATCTATCACTTTCCTCTAGATACCAACTGAAGCATTTATTAGGCCTCCGACTGAAGTGTTGCTAAATTAAATCATGTCTGCCGCCTCTGTGTTAACTTCGTTACGGCAACGTTACTGGGTCACATCTCTGCCCTCCTTTAACACCATATTCAGATCACCAATCGGCTGTTGGAGGCGAGACGTTGTCTGCGTAAAAAAAAGGACAGGACACTTCTTAATAATTGATTGATTGGGCTAGATATTGTAAATCCATGCTCGCGTTTACAGCACATCTCGCCACTGTTAATCCGCGTATGCGCAGTAACCGCCTCTATTGTCTCCCGGCAGCACAGCAGCAGCAGCAGCGCACGGACGGATCTGCGCGTGCAGGGGAGCGGCACACGCTGACCCGAATCTCCCGGCAGACTGAGGGAGGACGAGCGGACCTGGACGTATGCACTGGACGGGTATCATGGCTGATGAATTTTGAGCCAGTCCTCTCTGAATAAGAGAGAGCTTTTTGCATTCAGAGAACTGCGGATGTGTTGTTGCGCGTGGTGATTTTGGGCAGGCTGTCCTGTCAGTTGCTTATAAGCGGAGAACGTGTTGCGTTTTTGCTCGCGCGAACGGCTTTATTATCACCCCCTTGTTCCCTAAGGTGATTATTGAGACTTTAAGTCCATGATTCGACCAGGAAAATGGGCTGTTGCGTCTGCGAGACACAGCTGTTTTAGTCAGACTTGACAACCGCGGATTTTAGCGCTTGTTTTGGTCGCTTGTTTGAAGGAGGCTCGAGAAGCACCGCAGGGAGATCCGTGACACCCTTTCCGCGACACCCCCACCCATATTTAGCGGATACTTTTGGATGGGGGGCAAACAGAGTACGGCGGGGCGGCCCCGGGGAGCTTTTCCCGGTGTCTCGACGGATGACAGCGCGGTGCCACCCTCGGCCCACTTCGGACACTACCGGCCAGGTGGCACGATGGGACTGCGCAGCCGCTCGGTGAGCTCCGTGGCGGGGATGGGCATAGATCACAGCGCCACGGTGCCCTTCGGGTTTTACACCCCCAGAGGAACAGACTCGGACAGAGCCGGAGGGGTGTCTGGCTCGGATCCCGCTCATAGCGGGAATGGATACCAAGAAACGGGCGGCGGGCACCACACGGACGGTATGCTTTACCTGGGGTCCCGGGCGTCGTTGGCAGACACGTTGCCCCTGCACATCGCGCCCCGATGGTTTAGCGCCCATAGCGGTAAGTGATAACTTAAGCATTAACACAGGGCGCAGTGGCACAAAGCTACATCGATGCCACCACATGTAGTACGGAATATCACTTGAGGGCACGCTGCTGCTCCAGTTTTCGCGCCGGCGGGAGGGGGAATGCGCACGAGACCTGTCTGACCAACGACTGGCGCGAATCGACGTTAATAAACCAGATTGCCAAATCTTACTGGGACAATTAGCTTGTGATTACAAAGGGAGGGGGACTCAGTGGTTATCATCCTCTTAGCTCGAAACACAATATTTCTCTGTGACTGTGGTAAGGATTTTGATTAATGACAATGACTCAAATCTTTTGAATCACTTCACTCAAAAGATTTGGTTTGTTTAGCGACTGTTTAGCGATGTCAGTAGGTGGCGACTATCAAGTTTATTTTTTGTGTGCGAGAGTCACTGAATCAATTCCTGAACCGATTCGTAAAAAAACATTATTTTTTACCTCCATTTTTGTCATCAGTTTGTGATCTAACCCATGGTTTTCCTTCTGTCAGTAACTGTCAAATGCCCTGAGATTTCTTGGCTTGCTTACAGAATACACTCGCATTTTTGGCCCCATTATGGAGATGAAAGACTATAATTTTTCTCTACTCAAGCATTTATTAGGCCTCCGACTGAATGGTTGCGAATGAAAACATGAGGAGTACCTAAATTAAATCATGTCTGTCGCCTCTGTGTTAACTTCGTTATGGCAACGTTACTGGGTCACCTCTCTGTCCTCCTTTAGATCACCAAGCGGCTGTTGGAGGCGAGACGTTGTCTGCGTGAAAAAAAGAAAGGACACTTCTTAATAATTGATTGTTTGGGCTAGATATTGTAAATCCATGCTCGCGTTTACAACACATCTCGCCACTGTTAATCCGCGTATGCGCAGTAACCGCCTCTATTGTCTCCCAGCGGCGGCGGCGGCAGCGGCACAGCGGCACACGCTGAATCGATCTCCAGGCAGACGGAGGGAGGACGAGCGGACCACTGGACGTATACTCTGGACGGGCATCATGGCTGGTGTATTTTGAGTCAGTCTTCTCTGAATAAGAGAGAGCTTTTGCATTCAAAGTACTGCGGATGTGTTGTTGTGCCTGGTGATTTTGGGCAGGCTGTCCTGTCAGTTGCTTATAAGCGGAGAACGTGTTGCGTTTTTGCTCGCGCGAACGGCTTTATTATCACCCCCTTGTTCCCTAAGGTGATTATTGAGACTTTAAGTCCATGATTCGACCAGGAAAATGGGCTGTTGCGTCTGCGAGACACAGCTGTTTTAGTCAGACTTGACAACCGCGGATTTTAGCGCTTGTTTTGGTCGCTTGTTTGAAGGAGGCTCGAGAAGCACCGCAGGGAGATCCGTGACACCCTTTCCGCGACACCCCCACCCATATTTAGCGGATACTTTTGGATGGGGGGCAAACAGAGTACGGCGGGGCGGCCCCGGGGAGCTTTTCCCGGTGTCTCGACGGATGACAGCGCGGTGCCACCCTCGGCCCACTTCGGGCACTACCGGCCAGGTGGCACGATGGGACTGCGCAGCCGCTCGGTGAGCTCCGTGGCGGGGATGGGCATAGATCACAGCGCCACGGTGCCCTTCGGGTTTTACACCCCCAGAGGAACAGACTCGGACAGAGCCGGAGGGGTGTCTGGCTCGGATCCCGCTCATAGCGGGAATGGATACCAAGAAACGGGCGGCGGGCACCACACGGACGGTATGCTTTACCTGGGGTCCCGGGCGTCGTTGGCAGACACGTTGCCCCTGCACATCGCGCCCCGATGGTTTAGCGCCCATAGCGGTAAGTGATAACTTAAGCATTAACACAGGGCGCAGTGGCACAAAGCTACATCGATGCCACCACATGTAGTACGGAATATCACTTGAGGGCACGCTGCTGCTCCAGTTTTCGCGCCGGCGGGAGGGGGAATGCGCACGAGACCTGTCTGACCAACGACTGGCGCGAATCGACGTTAATAAACCAGATTGCCAAATCTTACTGGGACAATTAGCTTGTGATTACAAAGGGAGGGGGACTCAGTGGTTATCATCCTCTTAGCTCGAAACACAATATTTCTCTGTGACTGTGGTAAGGATTTTGATTAATGACAATGACTCAAATCTTTTGAATCACTTCACTCAAAAGATTTGGTTTGTTTAGCGACTGTTTAGCGATGTCAGTAGGTGGCGACTATCAAGTTTATTTTTTGTGTGCGAGAGTCACTGAATCAATTCCTGAACCGATTCGTAAAAAAACATTATTTTTTACCTCCATTTTTGTCAGCTTCAAAACATAACAATAATAAGCAAAGTAACTTGAGTTCCAGTACAGTACATTATTTTAACCACAGTTGGTTATAAGTCAACATATTCATAGATAGTCTGCACCTTTTTCTTCTCATTGAGTTCATGATTAACTCACTTGACAAACTAAGTGAACAATAGTCAGTTGGTCAGCATAAATAAACATAGATGCCCAGTCTATCTTTCGCGACTCATTGAGTTTGTTCTCAATGAAATGTCTCATTCTTTGTTGCTCTGAATCTTGTTCAGACTTGGTCAGTGATTCATACAGTAGTTGTTTAACCAGTAAAATGCTCTTCACAAACACTACTCGAAAGCTACATATTCATGCTATATTAGTCCTTTAGGACAGTCACTTCCATCTAAAGGAAGAGACAGAAATATGAGTCAGCACATGGAAGTGAACAAGAACGATTCATTCACGACTAAAACACCACTACTGGGCTTGTCAAGGCCTGAGCCGCAGAGCGCTCTTGATGCCTTACAGCCTCAGTCCCTCAGTGCTCATTAAGCAAGCCGCAAATGTGGCCTCCAGAGGAAACCTGTAAGATGTAAACAATTCGACTCCGTTTTTTTCCTTAAATGTTATTTCACTGACACCAAATGAGGTTTCCCTCATTATCAGGGAACGTAGCTCATGTTAACAGGTGAGGCGTTCAGCCTTGAATGTCATGGTGTGTGATTTGGCTTCTAAACAGTGATCACCCACAGGTTGCCAGGTTGCTACTGTGAGTTAATGAATGTCACAGTGAACAGAAGAGAGGTCAGGTGCCTTTCTGAAGGGTGGGGCTCAGGGATCATGAGGGGAAACGGTTCTAGGAAAAGTACTGCCTGTTCCCCGGTGTTTGAAAGTAAGACTTAGTAAATAGGTATATTCTCATGTCAAATGCTTAATGAAATGGGAAAGACTCATCTGAAACGCTGAATTAAACATACCCACTCATATCAGCCCAGTTTATCTAAAGCTGCATAAATGTGAATACATTTACTCTGCAATTTTATTGCAGAGTAAATGTATTTTAAAGAGATAGTAATGTTTAGTAATCTTTTATTCACTTTCATGTAGTTCCAAACCTGTGTGAATTTCTTTCATCTGTGGAAGACAAAAGCAGATATTTTGAAAAGTATTGGGGTTTTCTGTCCATACAGTGTCAAAAACAAAGCCATTGTTCAAAATATTTTCTTTTGTGTTCCACAGAAGAAAATAAGTCATACTGTAAGTACATACTGTACTGTAACAGTTGGATTTGTTAAAAACAGATTTGTTAAACAAAACATTAATTCTTTTTTTTACTCTATTTTGTAATAAAATGGTCCTTCACAACCAGTATACTTGAAAGCTACATATTCATTCTATATCAGTCTTTTAAGACAGTAATCTGTTGGTTTGAGCATCCTAACTAGCAACAGAAACATTAGCTTAACTAATGGTGTGAGTTCACGGTGGGACTATCTGTTTGGCTGGCCAATGGCAGATGGACGGAGTGTTCAGGAAACCTGTTTGACACTCTCTTTTTTCAATTCGATTCAGCCAGTGCCACAGAAACCTCATCTTTAATTAATTAATGCACATTTATGGTTTACAGTTTTGTTGTTAGACTTTTCAAAAGAAAATATAACTATATAGATTTGACAAGTAAGCGGTGAGCTTATATTATCTGTAGAGCTTAACCCCCTACAGGCTCCACAAGGCATGAATGAGGCTGGATTCAATCAGTGTCTTACAAGTAAATTCTGTTTATTCTCACTAGGCAAACAGAATTTTTGTTTACACGAGTGGTTGGCCTACTTGCAACACATTGCAGAGAACTTTAAGCCTACTTGCTTTATTCATTTATCTCCTGTGTCAAACTTCATCCATGTTTTTTACAGTAACTGCAAAATGTAAATGGTGGAATGTTCTTATGTCCTCAAGTTTATTTGATATTCTGATCCTATGATATGTCATTTTTTTATTGCCTACCAGGAGAATATGATTGCTTAGAAAAGTAGCACTCTCCTCAACAAGCCGCACAACTTGAGATGTCATTCATGTTCGTAGCACAAACATGTGGGATGTGTTATGGGCTGGAAATTAAGTATGAGCAATAGTAGTTGTGATGTTTTTCTTAGCAAGCACCACTAATCATCAATAATTGCCTTTATTTAAAGAGTAAGCATGCTGGTGATTTAAAGTTGACTCATTGATAGTTGTTTATTGAGAGGAAGTTGTTCAGATTAATTGTAGGCTCATTGTGTTAGTAACTGTGTTTAATTTCCAATTAGAAAGTGGTATTTCGTGCTAATCATTTTGTCGAAATAATGATTTAAATTCTGTGCTGTCATGTCAGTCTTTACATACTGTAACTAGTTTGCTTATTTCAAAGCTGGTTCATTCATGTTAGAGATGTAGCGTCTGTGTTGAAGGCTGGTCAACTCATTGAGGCTTTCACTCACCTGTTTGCTGCATGCAAGCAGATTAAAAGCAACAGTAATCGCTCTGCTAAAAGTGCTGTTTAATCATTATTCCTCACCCATTAGAAAACTGAGTAATCATTCGCTGGCCTTCACTGCTGCATGTTTCCCGCTTTTAAAGCAGCCCTCATATCACAACGGAAGTCTTTAAGATGACATTTTAAGTCAACATCAACATTTCGCATTAATTGCAACCAAAATAGTGTGTTACGGTGCTGGTTTTGGTGGCAAGTCTTTTAGGAATGTTGGGATTGTGGAACATCTGTGCTGATCTGTCTGGCAGCAGGATACAAGAAATATAGGTCACTCTCTCAAATTGTTTCTGCTGTTTCTTTGCCTCACTGGTCTCTCTCTCTCTCTCTTAGCTCAGGGTGTAATTCATTTATGCAAAGACACAGATGCACATACACTTGCGCTGCATCTTACTGACACAAAAGCAAGTCACAGAGTCTCAAAAACAAAATCAGACATGCACGTATGCACAGATACACAGGTTGTGTTCCACTCGCCCAGTGGTGTCCTCTGAAGTGCACTTCACAGGATTTTCGGCCATCTTAAGTGAAAAAAGTTGAGGGTCCAGCTAAAATGAGGGGTTTGGAGTAAATAATTTGTGTACCATATATAAATACTGTATATCGAATGTCTTAATGTAAATACACTTTTTTTTCAAATAGGATTTATGTAATTAAAAAAAAAGTTCTGTAGATTTAGAGGTTCTAAATTTAGGAGTTTAGAGTATTCTGATGATTTCCAGTATTCAGTTATTTCTTGTTTAGGTGCTGGTTTGGGATTTCTTAATTTCCTGATGCCAGCATATACAGCACTCGTTCACTCTCTAATTTCAGACATCTGCCCTACTTCTGTTTAATTCACCTGAGACAGGTGAGACTTTACATATCAACATATCTCCAAACAAGATAAACAACTTCTTCCCTGCCCCGAGGCCATACAAGTTTCGTAAATATTATTTAAAAACTCTAGCCGTGATTTTTTTTCCCATTAGCCTGATAATTTGAGGTGTGGCTGGGTTGTGTTTTATCTCAGTCCCTATGCTTTGCTTGGTGGCCTGCCAGCTCGTATTTATCAGCACAGCTCTTTCTGTTTATATATTTCGCAGAGCACAGTACTTTGGGACAGTAAAATCTAAAATAAGGAGAGGTGTGGTGGCATAGGGATTTTCTCACATGAGAAAATGGGCCAATGTTTACAGTGGTGCATCCTGGGTAATGCTGTGCCTGAAGCAGTGGTGGGACTAGCCAAGATTAAAGTGGAAATGTCTTCTGCCCATTTCAGTCAAACCACCATGAAGGCTCAGTTTAATCACTGAAGTGGTTAGGAAACCAAAGTACTTTGTCACTGAACAACAACAATAACAATGGTAACAGCAAAACATTATCTTAGCTTATTTTAGAATGGCCTTATAAGACTTTACGGTTAGCAATGTAAACACATCGCATTGGATTATGAGCTCTGTAAACAGCTCCCTTTGTAGTAACTCTTGTATTCATTTGTTTAGCAAAGACTCTTTGTTCATAAAAGCCTGCGACTACACAACTACTGGTCATATGCTTATCAAATGAAGCATTATAGCATGAATGTGGATCAAAACGGTAACTGCCAATTTAAAAAGAACCTCAAAGGTATTAATGCAATAATAACACTAAGATGCGCCTCTTTGTGCTCTGAAAACAAACAAAATCTGTGTGATTACAATGCCAACTGAAACCTCTCATGTGACATTTCATAGTTTGAGCAGTTCAGAACTTGTTTGGCATGCAGCCTTAGCACATTTTACTGAAAAACAAGACATCAGTTTCACATAAAGTCTCAATTTTTCAAACATTAAGCCATTCTGTAATGTGTAATATATAAAATCGGTTTATATACACTGAATTAGATACAAAAAGAAATTAGATATTTTTTTTTTACATATATGGACATTTCAAATGCATATAGACTATCTCACAATCATTATATTATGTTTGATAATGACATAATAAAGAGGTATTATAAAGTTTTGGTCTCTTTATTATATCTCTTCTA